ATCAGCATTATTCAATCGTACAAAATTTATTTCGTAGTGATATGAGAAGCTGCAAAATGTATGCGGTAAAGCTTGAAAAACTATTTTGCGCAGTTCTGGATAACGTCTATTATATGACAAAATGTCAAGTAATTTGGATTTGTACCTATTCACTGACCACTTGGATGGCCATACAGTCATTTTGGCACAACGAAGAAATTTTTATGTGAGAAAGTTGTTTACTTATGAAAAAAAAACACGTAAAATTATCTCCATTTTATTTTTTTTTCTTACAGATATAGATGACTGCCAATCCCTACCTTGTCTTAACAATGGTAACTGTACAGATGCTGTCAATGATTATCATTGTACTTGTGATATTGGATTCACAGGTCGAACATGTGAAACTGGTAAAATATAATTTAAAACGAAAATATTTACTGCGAATTTATTTTAATTGCAACTTTATGTAGACTAATATGACGCCAACATAAGCATACTTAATGTAAATGTCATTAAAAGTATTATGTCGAACATACTGGTCATGATAGATGTTGATCTATTTAATCATCTCATAGAAAAGTTACAATCACACAAAGTTTGATTCCCCTGTTATTAGTGTTTTATTTTATGCTTTTCAGTGGATTACTGATTTATCTGTATAAATTATATTTGATAATTTCACAGTGAAAATTAATAAAATATAATTTCACACTTTTTAATGACGAAACTACTTTTTTAAGATTTTCCCCATGTGGTACCTCAATTTTATTTTTACTGACAATTCTGACAATGTCAGCCTGTTTAAAGAAAAAGCAAAGCTGAAATTGATAAAAAAAACTTAAATGTCAAAAGTAATAAAAAGAAAAAAACTTACTTCTATTCATTCAAATTCCAATCACCAAATTTCGTCTCTAATTTTTTTGTTTCATTTTTACAGTCTGAAAAATACATTCCTTCCACATGCAAAACTGCTCTTGGTGACATATTAAAGTATCCTACGAGCAATAACTGCCGTATGCTTTATGAAAAATTGAAAAGCAATGACAGCCATCAGCCGAATAAGAATAAGTAAACAACCCAGCGTTCCTGAGCCAGCTTCCAAGTTTTCCATTTTCCTAGCTGTTTTTTTTAATGTTTTCACATCTGTCAACACTTTTTTTTTGTCTGTTACAATCCTCAATAAAGTTTTCTTTCTTTTAGAAAGGTGTATGACTAACAAATCCAAATGATATCCCTCTGAATCAAACACAATTATTTTCCTCCCGTGAAATACACAACTTTAAAAAATGGCTGCCGCTTACATTTAACAAAGCAAGGTCTCATATAAATTCGCAGTAAGTAACAGAAATTTGGATGGATGGTCGGACTTTTTCTCCTACAAGAATTGTTTGTTTTTATTATTAAAACAAGCGAACATTCATATCTTTTAATAAAATGAATAATATCACCGTCATTTAATGTTGATTGCTTATTTTTCAGCTCAAGACTTCTTGTATTTAATGAGAAATTCCGACTAAATGGGGCTCTCAATGGGGAAAACAGATTTTAATATTAACGTTAATATTATGGAAATTTCGTTTTAACTTGTTTTTAAGCATAAAATAAAAAGAAAATTTGTTTGTTTGTTGTGTAAGATGTAATTTTATTTCATCTCGTGAACTTTAGAAACAGTATTCTCACTCGTGGCTACGTCACTCGTAAGAATACTGTTTTTAAAGCCCACTCAATGAAATAAAATTTCATCTTACACACAAACAAACAAATATCCTCTATATAATTGAAAATAAAGACACAGCTGAATAAAGAGCCAGTGGGCTTTAGTAAAAGTTGGGTTTTTAGTATTTTTGCATTTATATGATTTACATACTAATGAGAATTAATTGCTTATATATCCACTTTTAAACCGACAGTTTAAATTGTGAAGGAAAAAAAGTTACTAGCTAAAATATGTTTTTTCTTCTGTACTCTACAGTAGAAGAAATGTGAAACAGATAAATGTGCACTTTTAATATAGGTAGAAAAGTCACAAGTGTTTTCATAACTGAATGACTGTGTACATGTCAAAGCTAACTATAATTTGTATATATAATATATATTGAATTTTGTATACATATTTTTTTTTAAAATTCATTCTTCATTCCCTAAATTTAAATGGACATTATGTTCATTGTTTTCTCTAAAGTGAGTGGACTTTGTAATGTATCTCGTGAAGTTAACTTTTAAACAAATATTATTTTTATACGCCCGAAAAAAAATCGGGGTATAATTTTATGCACCTTGTCGCCCGTCCTTCCACCTGTTAGCAGGTTTCGTGTCTGGTCTCTATCTTTTGAACCAGTGGATGGAAACTAAAACTACTATGCAATAATATTAACCATTGTATAATACTCGTCTTAAAGTCTTTTCCTCCAACCTATAAAGTACAGAGCATAGATATTAAGCACACTTTGTTGGCTTTATTAAAGTAGAATTATCAGATTTAAAAAAAAAAATCATGAACATTAGGTGAATGTCCATGGGTGTTCATGTTAGTAATGTAAAGGGAGTTAATAAAAAGGGAAAATTATTTGTAAGCATGATTTATTATTTAAGGCACAACGCTCGTATTTTGTGCTTTTGAATGCCTGGTTTATTATTATTTGTAGGTTTTTTTATCATTTTATTGTATTAATTAACGTGTAAATTATCAACATATTATTAACTGTAAGTGCCTTTGTTGTTTTGATAGTGAAGAAAAATCTCTTATTTAATCTTCTTAGTAAGACAAATATATTTATTATGCACCGTCCGGTTAGCTTTGTGTGCTGGACTGCGATTTAGGCAATCCCGGTTCGATTCCCGGACGGTGCAGGTCACTTTCGTTGTGATTGATCATGAAATCCTTTCTACGGTCATTTACACTGTACCTCTGCTCTGGCATGTGCAGAAGTTATCAGTTTTTGCGAAAGTGAAGACCATTAAAACTGATAAACTGCTTCACAAGACTGCTCAGGAACGATGCGGTAGCTGAACTGTGCTCTGGTAAATTCGTGATCCGGAATGTAAAGTACCAACACCACCACAAATGTTTGTATCAAACCTAACAAATACTGATATAATTACTTTTAAACATAACATAACATTTTTATATGGCATTCTTTCACCCTTTAGAGATTATTAATGTTTGACAATGTAAGTCTATATTGAATAATCTAAAATAGAAATTGTAGCACAAAACTCATACATCTTCCATCCATTAAATGTATTCAATGGTGTATTCAATTGAAATCTTATACATGTCTTTGGATCATAATTGAAGATTATAATATAAGGCCCATAAACTGTGGAAGAGTATTTTACTCAATTATGACCATTTGTGATCTTAAAAAAATTGATATGTCTTCATTACCTTTTTAGGGGTCATTTTCTCAAAGCTTTAAAGTCCGACATGGTTTATACTAATAATTATTGCCCTTTGTGACATTAAACGCAACCTCCGTTTCTTGTCAGTCCAATCCTTTGATTAATACTACTCTGATAATGTCTTATGTGTTGCAAAGAAAGAAATATAATCGCCTGAGACTCGGACCAACAACTACTTGCACACAATACGAGCATCATACCATTACATCAGCGGGTATTTTGAATTTCATACTGCGAATGTTCGCGTATGTGTAAATGAGCAAGTTTTTGTATATTTAAACTTTTACAGGAGTATGTCAAAAGTACTTAAATTAAAATTTATCATAATAATATATGTTCATTTGGAATCGCATAAATAAACTTTTGACGTTAACAACATCGCGCTGATGTTTTGTCGTTGTTGGTGGTGGTGTTGTTTTTTTATTATTTTTTTTTTTGTTTGATCGCGTATTTGTTTCTCCTCTCTCAGCTTTTCAAAATTTTCTAACTGAATCTAAAATTCTTGGATGACCACACTTAAGACGAAGTATCAAAATGTTGTTGTCCGTGAAAGTTAAACAAAATGTTGATTTTTGTTAGCGATTAAAATGTTTGGAGTAATTTTTAGCAAATTACCTGGAAATAATATACTCAAGATTGTTTTCCAAGTTTTTCTGCCGGCTATATCAACAACGGCATGTTTGTTCCCTGAATCATGAAAGTTACCTACCCAGTATTGGTTTTCCAACGGCTTAAATCAGAAACCTGTTCGCTTTCAAAAATATGAAAGCTTGCCGATGTCTGGTTGTTTTTAAAAGATAACAGAAAGTGACAACCTATTTGGTTGTAGCCAGATCCTAATGCGTAGCGTTATTTAGGAGCTGATTTTAATCAGATTGATCCGTCCGTATTTTTTTACCCGCATTATCACTTTAAAAAGGAAATTGCCGATACATTCTGAATGACATTTTTAGAAATGTCCGTTGATCATGGTTATCATTGTACATGTGATATTGTACCTGTACCTGTGATATTGGATTCACAGGTCGAACATGTGAAACTGGTAAAATATACTTTATCAGCATTATTTCAATCGTACACAATTCATTTCGTAGTGATATGAGAAACTGCAAAATGTATGCTTAATGTAGAGAACGATGCATTCGGATATTCTGAGCTAACGACTTTAACTATCGTTATGATTATATTAATCAAAATACATTTAAATCTTTTTTAAATATACATGTAATTGTGGAGTCAGTTTAAATGACGTCATCAAAAAGGTTATCGATCAATCTATATTTAATTTCTCATTGTAATGCTATTATCAGCACGCAGCTTTAAGATATATTTATCAAAGAATTAAAAATCATTGTAAATACTAGTAAATACTGAATTAAATAAGATCTTAATACTCATATATTAACACTAAGTGAACTTTTAAATGGTTATGTTTCTCATTTTATATATGCTATGTATGCAAATGATTATACATTATACAGTTCTCGTGTCAATAATGCGAGTTGCACGACGAAAAAAACACCAGTCATGTTGTTTGTTTTTTTGTTGTTGTTTTTTTCTTTTTGTTTGTTTGTTTGTTTTTGTTTTACTTTCTTAAACTTTATTTTCAGAAATGATCAACCAACTTTCATATCGAGAAAACAAAAAGATGTACATGATCATTGGAATAACCATAGGAACAGCTATTGTAGCCATCATCGCATCAGTTGTTGTTGTTGTTGTTGTAAAGAAGAAACGTAATTCTGACCCAACAATAAATGGTAAGTTTATTTTTTTATTTTTTTCACGTTATTATATTAGGTCTGTCCGACAGTTTCATCTTCTTGCATTTATTCTTTTATACTTAATATAAGAATTAAATGTATTTAATTACGTTAATTAATTTATTCCTAATATTAGGATTCAAAATAATGAAACAAATTTTATAAAAGTATAAACGTATGGTCGATTCTCAAACGAGTTGTAGGCCTAACATAGAATGTCTTTATTATTACATAACTCTAGTAGAGCTTTATTTTATAGGACAATAGCAAATTTTGAGTTTCAATCATATCTAGATATTTTTAATGCAAACAAATTGTGCCAGCTATGGTAAGATTACGAGTTTCCTCTCATAGGCTACAAATAGAGGCTGGACGTTGGTCCAGACCTACAAGAACTCCAGTTAATGAACGAAAATGTTTAATTTGTAATGTTTTAGAGGATGAATATCATTTAATATTAGAATGTTCAATGTATACTGAATTAAGGAAACAATTTATTCATAAAAAATACTGGAAACATCCAAATATGGTAAAATTTATTGAATTGTTAAACAATGAAAATGATACAAAGAGAAAGAAACTGGGAATTTTTGTATATAAATATTTTGAAAAGAGAAATGAAATGCTATACGGTTCAGTTGAGTAATGACTTATTTTTCTTGTAAACCTACTTATATGCATAGTTGTAAAATGTGAATTTAAAACATCGTTCTAGATAAAAAAAAAGACATGTAGAAAATTAATATTTATGCAATTTTCATGTTTCATGCTTAAATTTAATCCATGATATCCGTCTTGCATTTCGTTTCGGTAAGGCTGGTAGTTAAAATGGATGTAATTTGTATGTTTTTAATATACATATATATATAAATATTGTTATTAATTGTACTAAATTCATGCAAGGGGGGTTTATCTTTTCTTTTTACGAGAAAGATCAAAAACATATTCTGTTTTTACTACATGTATCTCAATGTATATTATATATAACAAATTCTGATTGTAATTTAAGGAGAAAATAATGTTTTTCAGATATTTATAGTCTTAACAAATTTATATTAAAGTCATACTTTAAATGATATGAAATGAAATTATTAAGACTATTAAGCTTTCTTATGTCATGCTTGACCTTCTTCAATGAAAAGTTTATGTAGATCTAATATTAATTTTGTTCGCTGTATTATGCACATAAATCATGCTCATTTTGTATTGTACATGTATATATGTATGCTTTTATTGCCATCTCGGGCGAATAGCCTTATGGAATAAATGAATTAAACTCTAACTCTTATTAAACATACCTGAATATTGTGCGTAAACATAAAATGTTCCGTACCAAAATATTGTTCTGCCGTGTTTAGTACGGTTTTAACCTTTTAAGTCTTCTTTATTCATTCTAAGAAAAATGGAGTCACTATTGCTAAAACAAAAGCAATGTTTTTTAGACAGCGTGGTGGCTTGTTATCTCATGAAGAATTTTTGTATAATGGTAAAAAATCTCGATTTTTTAGTAAATTTAAATACCTTATAGTTGTTTTTAATTACACGGGCACTTTTGCTTAAAATCAGGAACAGATAATAGGAAAAGCTTCAAAAGCATTAAAATTTTAATGTTCTACATTTGAATTGTAAAAAGCAAAAATTTAATCCGAAAATATTATGTCAACTGTTCGATGCGTTTGTCGGATCCATTCTTTGTTATGCATCGGAAATAGTAAATCAATAGAAATTGAAAAACTCCATCTTAAGTTTTGTATAAAAAATACTAAATGTTTAACTGAATACATGCAGTGCAGCAGTTTATGGTGAGTTGGCTCGTTATCCTTTATACATTACAAGATATTTACGGATAGTAGAGTTTTGGATAATATTATTGCTAGAGGCTAGAAGAGTTCGAAATGAATTTGATATACACTCAGGGGCACTTATAACCCGACACTTACATTTTTCGGTATAAGTTGGTAATTTGTGAACGGATTTTGTTTAGTTTTTGAACAAACCAAATTCAACATATCATACTTATTTCCTAGAATTTTATTTCCAATTCATTAACAAAAAGATAGAGAAAATAACAAAACAAATATGTTACTGCAAAATGAAAAATCACAAAATGACTGTAAATATCGTAACACAATGAAAAGACTAAATCCAACTGATTCTGTATAATAACCAGTTCTAATATTTTCTGTGTCATCCATGGCTATAACAAAGTGTAAACACCTGTCTCATGGTTATGACGTATTGATGTCTTGGGGAATATTTTTCCATTCCTGAATAAGGGCTTCCTCGAGTTCCAGCAACTCCTGCATTCCAAGTCACCGGGTCTAAACATCACACTTGTCGGCTGAATTAAACAGGCGTGTGAGAAGGCGGACAAAGGCTTCTCTCAATTTGCTGGAACACGAGCAAGTCCTTATTTAGGAATAGGGAACTGTGAGGCAGAGGTGTGTAATTTGTTGTAGCCAATTAAGAGGACATACAAAGTGTTAGAACTGGTAAACATACAGATTTAATGGAATTCAGAGACTGTTCATTGTGTTATGATTTTTACAGTCATTCTGAGATTTTTCATTTAACAGTAGCCTATTTGTTTTGCTTTTATTTCTATTTTCTTACCGATGAATTCCAAGTAGGAAGTATGATATGTTGAATTTTGTAAAGTCTAAATTTGAATAAAATCCTTTCACAAATAACCTATTTATACAGAAAAATGTCAGTGTCGGGTTATAAGTGCCTCTGAGTGTAGATTTTGATTGAGAAAATGAAAAAGAAGCTAGACTGAGTAGAATTTGCATTTGATGCGGATTTTTTGGGCTCGGAAAATGAAAACGAGACTAAGTTCATAAGATTGGTTAAAAAAGTTTTATATTTTTAAATTTGAAAATCACAAGGTGCCAGTTATGGAAGATCACTGATTACATTGATAAAGAGTAACATAAAACGCTTTATAAACTTTATTAGAATCCACCATTGCGGTTGGTAGAGGATTAGTAAATCCCAACCAGAGAGTGACTGGTAGGATTGAACCGGATTTCCCAGTGCTCTATCAAACAAAATGGTTGATATAAGAAATAAAATATATTCAGATATAAATATTTTTATTTCACGCTGATGTTAAAGGGACGTCATTGAGGTTGCTGGAAATATTTTTTCCAAGATTTGTGATCTATATGATATATGTCTTAACCTACAACATGTGATTATTCCATTACATCGTTTTCCACAAAAATCATTTTTAATGTAAAAATTCATCCGTATATGAAAGTTTACAACTTTTTATTAGAGCTAAGAATTGTTTTTACTATCTATTTTCGATTTGAATCTGAGTGTACGTAGTTTTTTTATTATTGGCGGATTTTTCAATTTTAAGTGCATTACTTGATCTATATCAAACTTTAAATTTTGTGTTTTCATGTTTTTTTCCTCAGACGAGCTCCTTTAATTTCCGTTTCACATCTGTATATAGAATACAATGTATTTAGTTGACAAACGATTAATCTTTCAAAATGCATTCTATGCCGGACCGGCTTTGCTAGTCGATTTGACCAAAAAACCTGATTAAACAAATGTAAATCAGAATTATATACGAGTCAATGTTATTGAATAATAATGGAACAGGTCAAAAATACCGTCAAATTTGAAACTACTATTTTAGCACAGTTGTTCATTGCGTAGGCTAAACCAATTATTAATAAGTACCGATATCTACAAATTATCATATACTTATAAATGAAACATTGAAAAATAATGATAAAACAAAATGCAGGTTATTTTTAATTTTCCGTTTATTTACTGTAGAAATAATTTTTTTACTGCACTGAAACATATTTTCCGCATTTTCACATGTATTTTGCCCGACTACCTTTTTGTCAGTTCACCCTTTACACAAAAATAAAGGGGAAGTCTTTCGAATTGTAAGGTCAAAAAAAGAGGAAGGTTTTGTAATAAACAGAAACTTCTTTTATTATTATTTTATCTGATGGTATGAAAATTATCAAATTTCACTCGGGTGAAATATTTATTGTCATACCACTCGATGAAAATAAATCCGGTATTCATAAAGAAAATTAGATATCCTCTATAAATATTAAAAATGAAACAAAATATATAATAATCATTATTACCTTTGAAATATTACAATGTGCCATTAAATCAATTGCAAGTTGGCGGATCATCCAAAAAATTATTTAAAAAAGTATCTATCTCATATTTATAGTAAAAATGTCCACTATATTGGTTTTATTAGCTCACCTGTCACAAAGTGACAGGGTGAGCTTTTGTGATCGCTTTTCGTCCGGCGTCCGTCCGTCGTCTCACAGGACAGTAATTATGTGGCTAGAGGGACAATAGGTAACTGTTATTTCTCTTTGATGTCATTCATTCCGTAATGCTTTTGTGTGGCTATTTCCTTTTGTGTGGCTAAAAAGAACAATAGAGAGAACAATAGAGTAGCCACATAATTACTGTCCTGTGAGAACTTCCGTCCGTCCGTCCGTCCGTAAACTTTTACTTTAAATGACATCTCCTCATAAACCACTAAGCCAATTTCATCCAAACTTTACAGGAATGTTCCTTTGTGGTCACCTTTAAAAATTGTTCAAAGAATTTAATTCCATGGAGAACTCTGATTGCCATGGCAACCGAAAGAAAAAAACTTTAAATATCTTCTTTTAAAAAACCCTAAGATCTAGAGCTTAGATATTTGGCATGAAACATCTTCTAGTGAGTGTCTACCAAGTTTGTTCAAATAAAATCCCTGGGGTCAAAATTGGCCCCGCCCCAGGGTGTCATTGATTTTCCCTATATGCATATAGTAAAAACTTAAAAAATCTTCTTTTAAAGAACCCAAAGAGATAGAGCAAAGATATTCAGCATGAAGCATGTTCTAATGGATGTCTACCAAGTTTGTCCAAATAAGAGCCCTGGGGTTAAAATTGGCCCCGCCCCAGGGGGTCATTGATTTTCCCTATATGCATATAGTAAAAACTTAAAAAGTCTTCTTTTAAACAACCCAAAGAGCTAGAGCTAAGATAATCAGCATGAAACATCTTCTAATGAGTGTCTACCAAGTTTGCTCAAATAAAAGCCCTGGGGTCAAAATTGGCCCCGCCCCATGGGGTCATTGATTTTCCCTATATGTATATAGTAAAAACTTAAAAAATCTTCTTTTAAAGAACTCAAAGAGCTAGAGCTAAGATATTTAGCATGAAACATGTTCTAATGGGTGTCTACCAAGTTTGTTCAAATAAAAGCCCTGGGGTCAAAATTGGCTCCGCCCCGGGGGTCATTGATTTTCCTTACATGTGTATAGCAAAAACTTAAAAAATCTTCTTTGAAAAAACCCAAATAGCTAGAGTTTAGATATTAAGCATGAAACATGTTCTAGTGAGTGTCTACAAAGTTTGTTCAAATAAAAGCCCTGGGGTCAAAATTGGCCCCGCCCCTGGGGGTCACTGATTTTCCTTATATGTGTATAGCAAAAACTTAAAAATCTTCTTTGAAAAAAAAACCAAATAGCTAGAGTTTAGATATTAAGCATGAAACATCTTCTAGTAAGTGTCTACAAAGTTTGTCCAAATAAAAGCCCTGGGGTCAAAACTGGCCCGCCCCAGTGGTATCATTGTTTTTAACTATATGTGTATAGTAAAAACTTAAAATAACTTCTTTTAAAAAACCCAATGAGCTAGGGCTTAGATGTTTAGCATGAAACATCTTCTTATGGATGTCTACCAAGTTTGTTCAAATAAAAGCCCTCGGGTGAAAATTGGCCCTGCTGGAGGGGGGGGGAGATCATTGTTTTTCATTATGTGTGTAGTAAAAACTTAACAAACTTAACATTGTGAAACATCTTCTAATGAGTGTCTTTTAAGTTTGTTCAAATAAAAGCCCTGGGGATTAAACTGGCCCCGCTCCGGGGGCCTTTATACAGGTGAGCGACCTCAGGGCCATCATGGCCCTCTTGTTTGTCCTGACACCAGATTTATTCAAAATGTAATAGTTGCTTCAATTATTTATTTAACAAATAAATATATAATTTTATTATCTCATTAATGAGTGTTGAAATGTCCAAGGAGTCGGACTCGTACTGGATAAATGATTTTAAGTGCCTGAAATGTTCTCTTTGACAGTTTCACAGATGTATGTTGTGATCAAACAGTTCACAGTTCGTATTCATGTTCATATTTAAGCTGTATTTTTATTCACTTTGCATATTACAACAGAATTTGCAAAACGTTCAAAAGAATTAATTCCGTCAATCGATATAGTGTAGACGTTCCTATTCAATGCGTACAATTCACGGTTTAAACGGGAAACGCTTGTTTCATACAAACAAATGCGGATAAATCATCTCACATTACTGCATTTAAGTAACACTCATTTGCTTTCTTTTCTTTATTCCTAGACACTCAAGCAGATAATAGACCCGGAATGGACCCGGAAAGGTACATGCGTTATCATTTGTCAACATGTAATGCTTATTATGATATGATTTATTGATTATGATAAAAATTTGCCTGTTACGTATAAATATTGAAATGACACGTAAATTCACAAAACATGTACAAAAGAATATTATAGACAAATCTAATCTTTTTTCGATTTTTTTTCACGCTATATCTTTGCTTTGCTATTATATTATTAAAACTGACATCTAAACTTCGTAACATAAAATCCCGCTCTGTTTGGGGACTCTCGACCACCATCTTACAGTCAAACTCAACATTGTAGACATATAATTAAAAGAATCGATTCCCTGATGCAGTTGTCAGAGGATGTAACTTTGTTTCTATAGTATTTAAGTAGATGTGCTCTCATTTGTAGCATCCCTCTCAAAGTCATTGAGTCAGAAACTATTTTAGATTTCTTTTCATATACAATGTCAAAGAGCAAGTATCACGGCAATAATTATCACACTTGAAATAACAGATAGATACATGTATATGAATCTAATGACATCTGTTATATATTGATTAGTTTTAGTTACTTTCCTATTAATTGTTAAAATGAAGATAAGAAATTCAAATAGAGATATTTATAAACATTTTTATGTATTTTGTGTAGACGAGGAAATCGAACGAGTACGAGTCAGGTGTATATAAATGTTGTGGAAATAGAATGGAGATTGTCAAATACTGACGCAGGTGGAACTGGCGTGGGATACTATTCATTAATTGATCATCCTGGCAGACACGACAATAACATTTACGACAATATAGAATAAATTTATTTGCGAAAGACATTTCCTTTCATCTATATAATGGCTATTGAAGTGTATAAACAAAAAGAATTTGTTTGCCATGGTTTAGGACTTCGATTAATTATCGTCATTTTTATCATAGACCTAGTATGTACAAAGTCATAGATATGCTTAAGTCGAACATCAAATTAGTTCTGCACAATCTTAGCAAAATTATTTATTTAGCCCAAATAAAAAGAAATGATTTATTGAATTCATATATTAGACTATAACAAGGTTCATTATATTCACTGTTAGACACTTTATTAGTGAAAAATTGCTGTTATACAATATCTAATTCATATTTATTAGAGCTTATTCTCCATAATGTATAAACTGAAACATTTATTATACTATTACATTTCAATACCAACCGTGACAAAAAGTTTCTATATATTACAAGTTGATGTAAAACGAGATACATGTAAATGTATAAGTCAAATAAAATTTTCTTCTTCTTCTTCTTCTTCTTCTTCTTCTTCTTCATATCTACCAATATAACTTGTTTGATAAGGTAAAAATCAAGGTAAATAGTGTTAGTATTGGTGAACGTCACTGTCAGCTACATATTTGCATTTTATCTACAATATAAGAACATTCTATGCTCTTGTTTATATTCTTGACACTCAAACAACTACATGTATATGTCTTTTTGCCATTTTCATTTAGTTGATAGGGTGTAATAAGTCAAGATCAAGACTATTATTGTTTTGTTTTTTTTTTTTTTTGTTTTTTTTTTTTAGTTTGGAACGGTTCCATGACGACATAAAAGTTGTGTGATTGGGTCTTTCAGTCGTAAAATGACAAAAAATATTTTGATTTAATACATATTTCATATTTGTATCTACATTCATGTTCACATAATACACATGCGATTAGTTTGAGTATTTGGGCTACTGAAGAGATAATTTGCCATTGCAATCCTTATTTTTCATTATTTTCACTGTTGCTAGTCTTTCACTAGATAATATTTTTCTTGTCAGTTTGCGGTTTTTTCCCATCAAAATGAATTGACTTCTTGCAACCATATTCAAACTGATCAACACTTATTGCTTTGATTCCAAGACTTTTATTTCACAACAAGTTTCTGTAACACGTGTTGGGTAATCACAAATGTGATGAGTCGGCTTATCAGTGACATTAAGCCCTTGTAAATGAGTGTTTGAAATGTCAGGGATTTCGGTAATATTTTCTAAACTTTTTCGAAATTGACTGTGTTGTTGTTGTGTGTGTGTGTGTGTGTCTGTGTGTGTGCGTGCGTGCGTGCGAGCGTGTGTGCGTGCGTGTGTGTGTGTGTGTGTTGGTTTTTGTTGTTGTTGTTGTTGTTGTTTTTGTTGTTGTTTTCAATATCGCCTAATAAATTTTCTATTTATAAAATGTCATTCTTTTTATGAATTTTCTACGGAATTCCATAAACGACAGCCTATTGCTCACTGCCAACTGCTTATTTGCTTATTGGCAGTTTAAGTCTATGTGTGAATCAATTACGAAGTATTCCAAATGTACATTCATGTACGCCCGCCTTTGTAGGAAAACTGCTGAAGTAAATTTCACGGAAAACAATGGTAAGTAAATTAGAAAGGATTAGTTAATTTGTAATTTCATTGACGTGTGTACGCTCTGTCTTTGCACACAGCTTTGGTTATGATATGAAATGGTTCCACGTGCCACATTGCACAGGTGATTGATATACTGTCAAATAAAGGCTTCATCCTAGGATTAACTTAATAATAAATTATTCACAAAAAAGTATGTGTTCAAGGTCCAATGGAACGTGTCGCGAATCGTCTGCTACCTTTGTTGTGATACAACATGATCTTATTGAAGCTCTCCACAGTGTTGAGATTAATTGCTGGCCGCATCCATTTTTGCGTATCAAATTCAGTTTAATGAGTCTCATTTATAGCCTAAAATCATTAGAACCAGTATACAAACATTGTTCAATTAAACCTTATATCGTCTCCTTAACTAAGAAGAAACAACCAAACACAATTATCATTTCATAAATTCATATTTAATTGCGGAAATCACTTGGGTCGCTATACTGACCAAACCACACATTTGTACATAATATCAAACATATATATATATATATATACATAATTTATGTCTTAAGAACTGCTGATCTTTACATACGAAACAAACAAATTAACATTTCTTGTGGTTTTGATAAACTTTGGAAATTTTGCCGAGTAATATCGTATGTGTGCACATGTCCTTATGTTTATGATGAAAATAATTCACTTACATACAACAGTACTCTCACATACGTTTGTTTTGTATGTAGTTTCCATTTGCATTTTACATATGATGACATATTTTAGAATTGAAGTATCAATAAATATTTTTCTATATGCTATTATTTTGTTTGCAGGCTTTTACTGATGATTATAGTATTGAACTGAGAACCATGTAATTTGAAACATAAAGTACATATTTGTTGTAAAAGAAGAAAGTATAAATAACATTTATAACAAAAACAAGTAACAGAACATAAATGTCAATAATTGCCATTGAAAATATGTCTTCTACACTTCTTTTGCAAAGTTTTACTACGGATTTCAATAGAATAAGAATAAGTTTGCAACCAAAAATGCTTGAAGTATAAGTCTGCAACCAAAATGTGCTTGAACATTGTATATTTTTGTGTATTGAACGTTATCTTCGGACTTGCGAACTAAGCCATTTGTACAGCATTGACAGAAACATATTTTGTTATTGTTAAATGCAGTTCAAAACTTACAAATTCGAATAAATTAGGAGAAAAACCGACCAGAAAAGTCACATGTCAAATTTTATAAATATCTACATGATCAGTTTATATCTTCAATAACTTCGTCAAAACAGAATCTAGGATGCTGAAACCTTTAACCGAGTGTGGTATATATATTGCATTATGGAATAGACATACTAATGAACTTCAAAATAACAAAGAAACCCACTTGCCTGGCAAAAATTCGTTCACCCGTTTCAAAAAATCACGCCGTGTTCGCCATTTTGTCAAGTTTGCAACCAATTCGCTCGCTTGAACCAAGTGTGCAACCACTTCACGTCCTGCCCCTTGTAAAACGTTCATCACACATTTATAGATAAATATTCAAATTCTTCAAGAATTGTCACACACTATAAACATAATGATTTAAATTGAGACACAAGATTTGTTTCGCCAATATATCTACTTTATATCGGAGACTTTACACGATTGAAGGGAAAATAATTTCTTTCTAATTCGTCTGCTCAAACGAAAGAAATTATATTTCCCTTAAACCTTATATCGTCTCCTTAACTAAGAAGAAACAACCAAACACAATTATCATTTCATAAATTCATATTTAATTGCGGATAGCACTTGGGTCGCTATACTAAAAATTTAAAAGAACGGGTTAAATTGCCGCACAGTACTGACTGCTTATAATATTGGCGAAACAAAACGATGATTTATATAATTATGTATTAACATAACCACAGTATGGCATTACATATCACAAACCTTATGAACGAGACACAGAAAGCCTTTCTTCTAAATTATCTTTCACATAACCGTCTTTAGCTCTTTCGCTAACCCAACGCCCATGGCGTTTAAACATTCTGTCTTTTACACCGTTGTTTGCAGCCGCCGAAGCGCCACCAGACCTCAAAGAATGCAAACAATATTGTGATAAATTACTAACATGCGGTGCAAAAGCCGCTTTAAACTGATCTCTTAATGTAGTATAAGACATAACTTTGAGATCCTTCCTAATGGTATAACCTTTAGCAGTACTACTTATATTACAAAATAAGTGATCATTGTTCTGAAAATTTGCCCATTCAATATACAAAAGAGTATTACGCACAGGGCATAAACAAGTACCCGATTTTGCGATCATAATCCACGAACCATCTCTATATTTATCGGTTTTACTTCCTTCAACAAAGATAGCTAAATATGTCTCTTCAAATATCAAATCAGATATCTTTATATTCAGTAATTCAGAACTGCGCATAAAACCTGCGAACGCTAACAAAGATGCACAAATAATTCTTTGATTTTTTAAATTGCAGCCTGTTGTACATAGCTAGTAAAATGTCTACTGTCATGGGTAGCTTTTTGTTGGTAGTTTTTGCCAAGATTCTTTTTGGCTGCTTCAAGAACATTAATCACGGTCTTAGAATCAGTCGGAGACCTCAAACCAAAAATATCATGAAACCATTTTAAGGCATAAAATGCTGTTATAATTGGACTCGGAGTATTTGCAGTTTGAATTAAAGATGTAAGATATATTGCTACAGTCAAAGTTTTAGCGGGCAAAATGTCCCCACTCCCCAGCCCATTACACACGCCCCACTTTTTCCAACGAAAAAAATGCATGTTCATACTTTTTGCACGTGTTGTCTGCTCGTGATCTTTGTAAAACGCCGGGGAGTAGGTCCACCTTGTCCGCCAAAAAAATCTGGTAGCTGTTCGATCTCTTCTCTATGGTTCTGTAAGAATAGATGTATAAAACAAAGATTTAATTATCATGTCTGTGTAGAACATTATATAGAGACAATAATATATGTTTCTAAAAAAACATAACTAACGGAATAATTAGTCTATGAAAACGACAACAAACTATAGTGTACAAATTCGTTACAATCTACTATTATTGTTTCATTAAATAGAGAGATAATAAGACACTTATTTATAAATTGTTACGGCAAAGCTGCTATTATAACTTGTTCACGGCAAAGCCGCCATTATAACTTGTTCACGGCAAAGCTGCCATTATTACTTGTTCACGGCAAAGCCGCCATTATAACTTGTTCACGGCAAAGCTGCCATTATTACTTGTTCACGGCAAAGCTGCCATTATAAATTGTTCCCGGCAAAACTACATTTATAACTTATTCATAGCAAAGCTGCCTTTATAACTTGTTCACGACAAAACTGTCATTATAACTTGTTCGCGGCAAAGCTGCCATTATAACTTGTTCACGGCAAAACTGCCATTATAACTTGTTCACGGCAAATACTGCCTTTAAAATTTATTCACGGCAAAGCTGCCATTATAACTTGTTCACGGCAAAGCTGCCTTTCTAACTTGTTCACGGCAAATATTGCCTTTAAAACTTATTCAAAGCTACCTATAATTTAATCAACAAAAAACTGTCTTTATTAGATAAAGTTACAAGATATTTACAACAAAGATACGTTACAAAAAATTGTCTTGTGCAATCCAAGGGAGACAAATGATCATAATACAAGTCATATGACGCGCATCACTGATCTCCCTTGTGCCTAAAATTAAGATTTAAAGGGAGCATTCTAAATTTCAGATCTGCATTACCAAATAGACCATTTCCATTACTACATGCCGTATATTACAACCTATTAGATGGCAAATCAAACCAGTCTGATACATTTGAAATAAAATTTCCATTTGGACACAAATCGGGCCAGAAAATCGCCGATGGCCAACATGGAACTACAAGTACACCTACTGCTTAATCAGCGCTCATTTTTCTAATCACTTTTCCTATAAGCGAGATCGGGGGTACAAACAATCCAAATTCAATTCCCCAGTTTTCGGTAAAAGCATCTACACCCGAGGATGAAGGACTCCAGAACCTTGAATAGAACTTGACCAATTTGGCATTGTGTTCTAAGGCAAACCAGTCTTCTGACAAATGGCCAAAACGGTTTTCAGTCATAGACAGAAGTTCATTTGAAACCCCCCAGTCGTCGTAGTCGACAACTTTTGATAAATAATCGGCTCTTTCATTAAACGATCTGGGAATCCATTCCATGAATAATTGTATGGACTTTGACATACAAATCTTGAAAATTGGTATTGCTATGCTTTGTAACTCCTTATTCATGGACCCTTCCCTGACTATTGATGTAACCCCTTGATATCACTAAACCACTTGATACTTTGATTAGAAAATAATATGAGTTAATGAACAAATAACCCGATAAACCGCGGTCAGTTCTTTCCACGTGGAGGATTTGCTACTCTCATCAATTGACCATAAACCATGGGCAACTCCGTTAACCGTACTAACCTCGTAACCTGCGAACCCAGAATTACTTGCATCTGAGTAAACAACTTTTGAGCATCTGACAGTATCAAATAAGTGATTGCGATTAAAGTGTTCTTAATTTTCTTTCCAGAAATGTAACTGATCTAAGCTGTCGTTTGAAAGATGGATAAAACAATCCCATGACCTAGCTTTCAAGATATCTATGCTAAGCGAACGGGTCATGA